ATATATTGCCACCCCATGAAGCCAACCAGCCACCGCTCGTAAATAATAAGCGGGCCGCGGCAGTATTATAATGCAATCGCGTGCACCGCTGCCACCGCCGCGCCACGCCGGTACAAATTGCTGGGTATAGAATGGTAGGCGCGTGTTCAGCCATCGACCTATCGGATATATGCCTTGTAGAGGGCAATCGATTATCGGTATTTCATCGATATCATGTACCACCAGGCAGCCAGGCTGGTGCACGCGCGTAACCCGCCACCACTCGTAATTATTTCCCCGAGTATCGCTGCCCGCGAAAGTGATTTTATTTAGCAAAGTCGTGGCTGCTACGACAAACCAACAACCAGCCAGGAATAAACGGGCTGGGCGCTTCGGTATACGTTTGGAAAATAATTTCAGTTGTTCGGTTTCGTCCATATCAAAAATTATGATATTGCTGGAACCTAGTAGAGAATATGTACATTGATTATTATTTTTAAAACATATAATGAAGAAATATCAAAATTATATATTTGAATTGATTGTTATATATTTTCAATTTCATTTAATAAAATAAAATATAAAAAATATAAATTATACTTAACTATATATTATATATTAAACAATTACAATCAGCAAAAGAATAAAGAATAAATCCAATAAAAAAAAATCGTTTAAAGTCGAATAAAGAAAAAAATACCACATAAAATTTTTAAAATATAAAATTATTTCACAGCTTCTTTTTTTTTTATCTCGTTTTAATGATTTTGTTCAAACATCAATTTTTTAAACTATTTTTTATAGAATTGATGCTTTTGATAAATCTGGAACAATAAAATTAAGTTCAAATTTATAAACTCATGTGAAAATTATTTGTATTAAATAGATATATAATTTAAGATGAAAAAAATACCTAATAAAATTATGTATGATTACATTCCTGGAGAACTCACGTTTCATAAAACGATATATGACATCAATTAATTTATTTCCACTTGTAGATAATAAAAGTACAAAAACCGTTTGTACTTTTTAAAAATCTATTTTTAATGAAAAATTAAATAATTAAAAATTTATGAAGTTTATATGCTTGTATTCAATTACGAATAATCGCTTATTATCAGAGTTGATATGTTAATATTACGAAAAAAAATTAATAAATAATTAATTATATATCTAAAAATTCTAAAAGAGTTTGATTATCATTAATAATATTTCTATTTAGTATCTTTTTGTGAATTCGAAAGAAATTTTGAAATCATTAATATATTCAAATAAAATCTTAACTCTAATTCTAACCTAAAATTAAATGTTAATTTATAATACTTTAAGAACGTATAAATATAATTATAATAATTAAATATATAATTTCAACAAATATATATTATGAAATAAATATTAGAATCTTTTTTCGAATTTATTTTCAAAGCATTCGAGAAATTTTTGAAAAATTTGTTTTAAATAACATTAACCTATATATAAAATAAGCGATTATAATTAAATAAGTTTCATATTATAAGATTATTATATCAATATATGTTTTGAAAAATTTTAAAATCATTTAATCATTTTATATATTTTAAAAAATATTTGATGTTAAGTTGAAAAAGTTGAAAATTAAGAAAAAATCAACCATATGAAACTTGCTATTTGCTTTTCACCTGAAGTGAACAACTGACAGAGTCGATCATTTAGTAGAGCCCAGATTGCAAATCGAGTGGTAAAATCGATTAGTCGCGTCGTCGAGAATCTATTCGTAGGAAATCGACTGCTCGGAAATCCAAATTGTGCACCGAGCATGAAACCGATCCAATTTCAAAGATTCTCTGATCCATGTCTCCCTCTATAGGTTTGCCATCCTACTGCACCTGCAAACTGTATCCGACATCTGATACCTTTCTTCATCCTTGTATTCCCTTCATTTAAGAATTTTAAGTCGAGTGGAAGATTGTCCCCCACACCGATACGAACCTGCGTTTTTCTACAACATCGATTGATCCTTTTTTTTTGTCTGCTATCAAGAAAATGAGTAACCTAGAAAATTGTAGGTATATCGTTTTCTATCATAAATTACTCTGTCAAATTAACCTTTACAATAGAAAAAATTCGTAAATCCCGAGATTGAATATATGAATCTGAGAAAAAATTATATAATGATTTTGCTTTTAAAAAGAAAAATATTTGATTTGATTTGATTGAAAATCATTTCAGTAAAATTTGATCAAACATTTTACCAAATAAATATTTCGTCACAATTCTAACCTAACTACATATTTTTAATCAATTTAAATCTAAATAAATCCAAAGCCAAAGTAGATAAATATCTATTTTGAAAAGAAACTAAAGGATATTTATTGTATCATTAAATTGTATTATTAGATGATGCAAGAAAAAGATTTATTATATCTGAAATTATTATTTTCTAATATAGTATAAATAAAATAAATTTTTGTATCTTTTCTATTATTTAATTTTTTTCAATTTTTAAGAGATTTTTTTCTCAATCATTTATAACTTCATTGATTTTTTTTTACTTTTTAATGAAATAAAGGAGAAAAAATCAAAATAATAATTTGTAATTATTTATTTCAAGTCTGTTCAGAAATATGTACTAACACCATCACGATCACTTCATCAATTATAATCTTATTTCTACATTGATTAACGAAATAATAGAAATAGGAAAATAATAACAAAAGTGGAAACGTATATGCATGTTTTATAATATGGTATGTATGTTCAGAGTGTATCGGAAGTGATGATAGAAATTAGAAAAACGAAAAATCGATGGAAATATCGGGATACGATGAAAGTGAATTCCTCGCGTTCCTCGATGCTCTCTTTTTTTCGTTTTTTTTTCTGCACCATCAGACCATGATAATCGTTCTTTATTTTTTGATTTCCTTTGCGAATTCTATAAAAACTATTGAAAATTATTGAAAAGTAGTGTTTATCACAAAAGTCCAAACTTAATTTTTCTGTACAAATTTTTATATACAAATTTTAAAAATTTGTTTCGTTTATAAAAAAAAAGAATTAATAATTGATTTTCTTAATTAAAAATAGAGAAATTACTACTTCTATATATTATTATTTCTATATATTATTATTTCTATATATTATTTCTATATATTAATATCTATAATTTCTATATTTTAGATACAATAGAACAATGTAATAGAACAATATTAAATAAAAAAAATAATATTTGAAAGATGTTTTAGAACAAAAGAAAGATAAAAAATGAGAATAAAACAAATAAAATAATTACTTAATTAAAATAATACTTAATAAAAAACTTATTAAGAAATATTAAGTAATTTAATTATGCAATATGAATTTTATATCATGAAAAATATTATTTTAATGAGAGAAATAATGTACTTAGAATAATATCTACATAATAATATCTACAAGTATGTATAAATAATTATATAATTTTTTAATGTAATTTTTATCTATTAATTAATTATTTAGAAAATAAAATATAAATGATTAATATCCAACCAAATGAGTTGATAAGCGGAATGTTACTTTTTTTTAGGTAAAAGAAAATAAAAGAATATTTCAAAATACATATAAAAAAATAAATTTCAATGGATAAAAAACAAGGATGATTATCGAATCACGTATGGAGTATCAATATCTTATTTATTATTCTCATAAACCGTCTATACATTTGTTCGAATAACATATGGTAACTACAAAGAACGACGTTTCCGGTCGCCGGCAAATCTAACATCTTAGAGCCGTGATACTTACAGGCAAACACTTATGTATAATCGATCATTGTTATATATACTTACATGTTTCTGCATCGATCATCAGAAACACATAATTTATTTTCCGTTTTATTTTTTTCCTCGACATTTTTTTTTTTACTTTTTTTTTATTTTTCTGTTTATTCTTTTCCATTATTTTTATATCATGTAACTTTGCTAAACATACTCTGTGACAATATCTCAGATTAACTGCAATGGATGATCAGGCTAAGCAATTCACGCGTATTTACAAATTTGTTTCGTGACTTATCCTTTTTTTTCCCTTTTTTATTTTTATTTTTTATTTTTATCGCGACGATACAATTTTCTTCTTTTCTCATTCTCTCTATCTCTCACTCATTCTTCTCTCATGAATATTAACTACACGCATACTTCATTTAGTCGCTTTATCTACACATGTATGTATAAAGATATATTATTACAATGAGGCCAACGTGCGGCTCGCTTTTTATTTCTTCGTCGTTACCTATCTATATATTTTTCTTTGTACGTTCACAGAACGTTACATGTCAAAGAAAATGGATCAGTACGAATTGTACGTATGTATATTAGGTGGATTACTGGCCACACTGTTTTGTAAATTCTTCAAAGGAGACGTTTGATAATTTTATTTCCATTCACGGATTGGAAATTCTCTAACAACGTTTATAGTGGCAGAAAGAATCTAAGGGAATTCTTTCACAGAAATCGTCTTCTTCTTTTATATCATATACATATTTGATTTCGTCTTTTTCTTTAACTTTCAACTTCTTTTTATCTCTTCTTGAATAATGCACTATACGGTGCGTCTATAATATTTTTAGAAAATGTAGAATGCTTCCTCAGATACGTATTTGAAAGCTGCTAATGACTGGTTTCTTCTTTGGACCTTCGTTCGGCTTGGATACATTTGTAAGTAAATAAAACAGTTCTTCTGGATAAAAATCATCAATTCTCTATTAAGGATCGGTTTCTTTTCTGTTTTAACATCACTTAATAGTTCTTTCATTATTTCTATAGTAAAATTCTTCAATTCTTTTCACATTATCAATTTCTTCTTTGTCAGATATCTATCGTGTCATAATTTTTTGCTTCTTAAACTTCACAAAATGATGTCGAATCTTTAACAAATATATATCTAAACGCTTTCAGAATTCCAATTTTTCACAAATTGATCATTTATTTAAATCAAACAATTTTTCATCTTTCTTTTCCCACGTACTGAAAAATTTTACGATCTTTAGAAATTTTAAAAATTTTTCAAAAATTTGCTCCATATCTATTTATTTCAGTTTCTCCCTTTTTAAAATTATTCATTCCTAATCTCTCGCTCTATCAATCCTCTACAAAATTTCTAAATTGTTCCCATCTCAATGATTTTCACCCAATCAGAAAGAAATTCGTGAAAATCCTCACGACTCGCATGTTGTTATGATTTTCAGGTTCCGTCCTCCCCGTGATTCAGGCAGCCATTTCCACGGCCGAAGTCCCTCCCCCCGTCGTCCCTAGGCTATTGCAGGTAAGACCAGGTGGCGGCCTGCGCGTCGTCCGGTCACTCGGAGTAGCTCGTCTTGTCGCTGGCGTCGTCGGGACTGGTCTCCTGATAGGCGTCACTCGTACCGTTCGCGTGAAGACTCTGATTGGGCGGCTTGATCACTGTGGGCAGGTAGCCGGTTCCTGCGTAAGGAGCGGCCAGGAACCTGTGCCTGGTCGAAGGGATGGGAGTGGTGCAGTACGCGGCTCTGCTCGCGTACGCGGCCGAGACCGAGGCGGACGCGGCCGCAGCCGACGCCAATGCGCCTGCCAAAGGCGAGAAAGCTGATTTCGGCTGGAGACTATCCTCGCAGACCAACACCTCCATAGCGGACACCACGTCGCCTGTGACATAGATATCTCTGCCAGTTTCCATTTTCCTTGACTCTTTCGTATCTTTTTCTTTCTTTTTTCTCTTTTTTTTTTTTTTTTGGAGTGAAAAATTTTCGCTTAGTTTTGCTTTCTTTTTTTGGATACAGTAAGATCCCCGTATCCACCGATAATATATATTTCAAGTTATTTTTCCAGGTAGGAAATACTATTTGTAATATTGTGTGTATGTAAATGCTTACGAATAATAAAAATCAACGCGCGATTTTATTTATTTAAATTTTTATTAGATTGTTGAAATGGTACGATTTAATAAATTCGTAAAACTATTCAAGAATAAGTAATTCATAATTTATAAATATATAAAATGAAAGAAGGAATTATTAATATTATTTTAATTAATTATCATTAAATTAATATTATCAAGTTGTTTTATTATAATATATATAATCTTATTAAAATATTCGATCATTTCATTTGTAACAATCTAATATAAATAGAATTTTTGTTACTGAAAGAGAAGAAAAAAGAATTGCAATTAATATTTAAATTTTTTCAACAACAATATTTAAATTTAATCTGAAACTTAGAAATATATTATTATATTTAGGAACAAAGTCATTTAAAAGAAATCATTTGATATTGATATAGTGATAAATTAATAAAATAATGAAATGATAAATAAATGAAACAAAATGTTTCAAATATATCTACACATTTGTAAATTTCAAAGTAACATGATACTGTAAAGGATTAATATAATAAAACAATAAAACTATAATAATGGATTTTACGTAATAAGAAACAAAATTATTTCATTTTTTTTTAATTATTGTTCGAGTAGAGAACGCGTGTACGGGGATCTTATTGTATTTATGTATATGTATATATATATCTTTATGTATCTTTTTTCCCCTAATTGTTATTTCTTTCTTTTTTATTTTTTAATCTATTTATATTTCAGATATAGTGAAGTATCCATGCGATAATATTTATTTGTTTTGAAATTTAAATTTTTCTTTCACGAAAAAATTTTTATCGAATTGAAATTACTTCACGTCCATCCTTTGAAACCCACAAAAAATTTCATTTCGNTATATATATAATCTATTTATATTATTATAGATATAGTGAAGTACCCATGCGATGATATGCGATATGGATATTTATTTGTTTTGAAATTTAAATTTTTCTTTCACGAAAAAATTTTTATCGAATTGAAATTACTTCACGTCCATCCTTTGAAACCCACAAAAAATTTCATTTCGAGCGGTGCTGTTCAAAATTACAGCCCGCAATTCAGAGATTCCAAGAATCGTTGATCCTTCTGAAAATTCAATCCCTAAACGTTACCAGGAATTTTGCGACCAAAGGGGTTGAAACTCGGTTGTGGGTTGCAAGGAAACTCGAGAACACTATAGACGAATCCTCTGAAATCGTCTCGAGGCCATCTTTCGATATAAGACTGTACGAGGACAGATGGATCGTATGTTCTGTCTGACGAATAATAGTCGCGGATATCAAATTACAGGGCTTACCTTTGCACCGGTGCAACAGAGCCTCGACGTCCGCGCGACGTCTTCCCGGGAACACTCGCAACAAAACGTCGACAGGCGATCGTTGTTGTTGCTGTTGTTGTTGCTGCTGTTGTTGCTGTTGTTGCTGCTGCAATTGAAGGCCGCAAGTCTGTTGAATATTTTGCATCTGCATCTGCATTTGAATCTCACGGGGCTCTGGCATGTGATGATGATGTTGATGCTGGTATAATGCTGGAGAACAATAAAGCGAACTTGCTGCTGGACCATATAGGGGAGCATAAGGTGGAAAATGTACCGCGGTCGCTGCGGCCTGGAAAAAGTATTATAATCATTTATATTTCTTGTATTTATTTTATTTTAACTTTTAATTTTTGTATAGAGCAAAATTACTTTCATTATATCATTTGATAAAACTACATTGATTAAAATAGAGATTACTTTGAAAAGATTATTAGCTGATTGTATTGAAATGGAAATTTCAAAGACAAAATTGAGATTTTCCTTTCTTTCTGTCTCAATTTTTTTTCTTATCAATTATTAGCATTCATACCATACATTGACATAGAAATAAATAAAATTTTTAGACAATAGATTGATACGACTAATTACTAAGAATTTTCATAATGCAAATATATTTCTTATTTTTGCAATGATTTTAGTTATGATACATAGAACATGTTATTTAAATATAACGTTTAAAATTATGTTAATATTATGAATATGAGTTTATTGGCATATCATGTTTCAGTACATCAAACATTTGAAATCCTACGTATAGATATTGATTTGTCAAAAGAATAAAGTAAAAAGCTAACCGCCAACGAAGGTAGTGGAGGACTGGGTCTAGGCTGTACCAAGTCCACCGGTTGAAGCGTCTGTTGCGTTTGCTGAGGACTTCCGCTTTTGCGAAGGCTGAGATTTTCTGGCGCTGGCGTATCCTCTCTTTGCGGTGTCAATGCTGGCGTTAATGGAGGTGTATGCGTCGGGCTCTGGGAGCCTGGTTCCGGACTTCCATCCTCAGAATCGTTCAGGCTGTTTGATCGTTTCCGCATTGTATCGTTCTCCGTTATTCCAATTGACGTTGGAATTGCTATTACACACAAGAATTATTTATTTAGTTACTTTTATAGAATTTTCATATGGTTTGATTATAATATGATTTATTAACAATAAAATTTTTGCTTAACAAAATAATTTTTAATTCTTTGACTTCTGTTTTTAATGATACAATAAAAAAAATATATAATGTTTAATAAATCATATCACGTAAGGCATGAAAGTAATAATTTAAATTAAAACTTTACACGAGTAAAGTTATATTCTTGCAAATTCAATTAGATTTAACAAAATTGATTTCTAATTTTTATCCCAACTTATTTTATGTAATAATAAATATCTAAAATCCTCAATTGTTTGTCACGGATTAATCTATATTCGTGAGATGTACGGAACCTTACCCAATGAACGGTCAGTAAGAAGTTCTCCACCAGAGTCGGAGTCACGGTCGTCTTCGTTACCGGTGTCGCTCGTGGAAAGCATTGTTCCCGTAGTGCTCTCAGAGATTCTCGACCTCTTTGTGCCTGGAACAAAACAGGGCGTATCGTTCGCTTACGAAATGAAAAAAAAAAGAAAAAAGAAAAAAGCAAAAAGAAAAGAAAAGAAAAGAAAAAGCGTGCATTAATACGCACAATACCTATGAAATTCTCCAGCCAGCAAACACTTTATATTGTTCTACGACGCATGCCGAATTGACTCTTACGGATCCTTGACACCCTTGAAAAAACGTTGTACATCTTTTATTGTGAGCCCCGCGTGTATTTACCACCTGCTGATATTCGCATTGGACGGTTCCAATCAATTGGTAACGACGAATATATAACGACTTATTGTTAGCTATACGTACATACATGACTAAAAACGTTAACAGTCGCTGGAGATATATTACTAGATAGAATTAAATAATAATTACTTGAAATAAAAAATTAGAAAAATGTTATTATTTAGATAATAATTACAGTATATATAATACACTATAAAAAATACAGAATAGAAGATAATAGGAAGTTTTGTTGTAATAATTAAATATTTATATGAAAAAAATTATATAAAAACATTTAAAATATTCTACATTGTAGAATCAAAGTAAAATTATCACTAGTACCATATTATATATACATCACAAGATATAACACTCTATAACAATAAAAATTCCCTATAAACGATGAAGAAAATACCTCATACATTGGCCAACTACAGTCGAAACACTCAATGGCATTCAAAAAAACACCCAATCAAATTCCACTCGCTCATTGTAAGAGGGAACCATATTAACTAAGCGACGAACCTGCCCTCTATGTAAAAAGAGAGCAACAGCGAAGTAGCAGCTAGCGGCAATTAAGTTAAACAGCGGAACACTCGATATAGTTGCTCGGGGCAAGTAATAGAGATCCCCCAAGCTTGGGAGAGCCACTTGAAACAACCTTGTTATCGAAAGCGTGCGCGTCAAGAATTAACCCGTGGAACAGAAACGAGGGAAGTGAAAGGGCGACGGAGGGGGTAAAGTCGTCAAGCGAAACGTCAAGGTAGAAGCTACATACATTTCGTACTCGCCCTATATATTACTTCTTTCCCCTCTCCAACTCTTGTTCGTTCCCTCTCTGTTCTGCTAATAAACGGCCGGTTAAACTTTTTAACGAGCGGTCAGCCGCAGCAGACTTTCTTCAACGGGCAACGCACCCCCTATGGAATTCTTTCACGCACTGACGAGGACTCAATGGCCGTGCACGTGCATACCTACGCCCCCGCATGTTATAACGACACTCTTGAACTCGGTATTATGTAGTTTAGGAGACAAGTATGGGGTATAATGCTATTGGTTAGATTGTCGTAATTATTTTGTACAAGATTGAGAATCTTTCTAAAGATTCTTCAACTTATAACATTCAATAAAGTAATATTTTCGAAATATCTTAATGATTTCTTGTTCTTATTATGAATAAAATTAATTGTATTTTTCGTAGGAAATTTAAATAAAAATAACTATTGAACAATAATTATTATGATATTCGAGACAAGTCGAATCTTAGAACTTATTTATTACATTTTATTTTGAAAATATAAGAATTTATAATAACGATAAGATTAATAATATATCTATTTAAGTTTTAATGCAATTTCAATTTCCTCTTTATCCATTTTACCAGTTATATATTATAATTATACGTGATGATATTTTTAAACTTAACAATTTAATCGCGATAATCTTATTTGTTAAACAGATAGATATATTTATTTTCTTCTTAATTTAAGAAAATCTAGTAACAGATTAGCAAGTGTTTTCCAGTGAAAAAAAAAAAAAAAAAAAAGAAAAGAAAAGAAAGTGAAATGAATCATGGGTCGTTATATATTTCGGGAATCTCTTTCGACGGAAGTTACTGTGGAATCTATCGGTGGTAATTCGAGGTGAACGGAACTGAAGTGGGTTCGAATTACCGGAGAACTATTAATGAAACAGGGATTAAAAGAAAGGAGCTGGCCAACGGGGGGAACAGATGGGTTCGTTGAGCGCCTATGAATAGAAAGAATCGCTGCTTTTTCGCTATTCACGCGGTGTAGTTGTCTGTGACGTTCATTTTTAAAGGTTCCTGATTGCGGTATGATGTTTCTCAGCTAAAGGTTCGCTTGTGAGAAAATTACCTGTGGGAAACTGCGTGCTTCTCCCAGGGTAAATTTCTTTGATACGGTTATACGAGATGATAATAATTTGAAAAGCGGTGAAAACGCTTAAAAAAAGAATGTAAAAAAATATTTTTAACATTAAATGGAAATTGAACGACTCGTGATATAAAATTACATCTTAATTAATATTAATTAATATAATTGTTGAGAGAGAGAGAAAGATTTCATTAATACATTAAAAATATATCATTATAAATATATATATAATTAAATTATTAATCTTTAAATATTTAATTGAATATAAGTATAGATTTTTTTTGAAAATTAATTTTGAAACATTTAAATCACTATTTTGTCAATAAAATGATTTATATAAAAGATCTTTAAAATTACAACTTTATAATATATTTTTCCTTCGCGCTTTATACATTTATATCCTTTTTTATATTTTATTTTCTTTATGTTTTTTATTTTTTACACCACAGGGAAGCTAACATATTTCCATTTAAGCGAAGAATTAATAACTCTAGATTCAAATTCTTTAAAAGTTTTAAAAAATTTGAAATTACCTACTTCATTTTTTCCAGCATGAGAAATTAAAAAAGAAAAAAAAAAAAACTAAAAAAAAAATACGAGAAAATCTTGTCGAAGGTCATTAATAGTAATAGTTTCCAATACTTCTTCAGATTTTCCGGTAACGAGGGCCGGTAACGACCGTCGCGCAAGAAATAAACGAGTCGAATTATAGTTTTCCGTTTCGGTTGAATTCAATCGTCTCTGCAGAAATACAAGTTTCGAGCATTCAGCTAACGACGGATCGAAGAAATTTTTAAAGAACCGAAACTCACCGCATTGAAATCTCCGCAAGTCTCTCCTCAATATTATTCACCTTTACTACATCTGTAAGTATATGTGCACAAACGAATTGAATTGTGACAAAATGGCGAAGGAAAATTTAATCGAGAAGAATATATGTCTAATATATAAGAAAACTTTTAAGATATTAACAATGTGATATCTTTGAATGATTAATCATTAATGTGATTAAATTTTTTAATTATTTTTTAATTGGATTTCTTTCTTTAGATTTATCAGACTATATATTGATTTTAAAAATAGTAAGTAATGAATATTATAAGATTCTAAAATCTAAATTTTTCGTGGCATTACATTAACAAAATTGCTAAATTAATTGCTTGAATAAAATACACATATATTCAGAATTCTTTTAATCTATAATTCTTCAAATATCTTAGAATTATATACAGAAATTCTCTTTCAACGAAAGCATCGTGAAACCAATCAATCGAAGAATTTTTACAATCGATGATTTATCTATAGATTTTTATTGGAAAAATAAATAAGAAAAAAAAAAAGAGAAAGAAAAAAAAAATAACAGCCATTAATCGCATCACACATAATATTATCGATCAAGACACGTAATTGCAATTCCATCCCCGTTGAAAATTATATTAATGACGATCAGCATCATAAGAATGGAATGCAATATCGCGACGGGTGATGTTAATGTAGCTGTTGGCTCTCCCCGACCAACAGAAAATTCCACGCGAAAAGAAGCCTTTATTCTCGTAGCATCGTCATGAACACCACAGTCGTCGGATGGATTACGAGACAGTTATTAAAATATCATTCTTCGCCGGTGACCCTTCTAGCTGGAAGCCACCCTTTATATTTCGACACCATCGGGGGTGACTTCATACTTACACTCCTTCTGTATCGTTTGCAATGGAACCGGGCGTAACGAAGTGCGTGTTTGCCGCATTCTTGAAACTTGAGGGGAGAGGTTCAACTGTATTTAAAGTGTATATAAATCACGTTTCATAAATCAAAAGATGGAAGATAAAAAATTCGAGGATTCAATTCTGTATATATTAAATTACTTTGCGATCTTCGTATAAATGATTATTAATTAAAGTAATGTTATAAAAATAAATAGATTTTTATCTCTATAAAAGAAAAATTATTCCTTATTCAACAGATACTTATTATATTTCAATAAGAATGTATTTAAAGTGTATATAAATCACGTTTCATAAATCAAAAGATGGAAGATAAAAAATTCGAGGATTCAATTCTGTATAAATTACTTTGCGATCTTCGTATAAAGGATTATTAATTAAAGTAATGTTATAAAAATAAATAGATTTTTATCTCTATAAAAGAAAAATTATTCCTTATTCAACAGATACTTACTATATTTCAATAAGAATTAAAAATTAGGAAATCATTTATATATTATCTATTAAATTATAATTAATAGTAATAAAATATTTTGCAATAATCGAAACCGGTTTACGAAACAGCAACATTTCTAAAGAACGAATATCACTCAGAATATCCGCCAAGATCTTGATTCTAATCGAAGAACCAAAAGAGAGGCGCGAAAACGGAGACTATCGCTAGATCACGCCCAGAAACACGACGAGGGAGAAAGAAAAAGTGGAAAGAGAAGAAAAGGTAAAAAGAAAAAAAGGACCAAAAAGAAGAAAAGGGAATACTGTATCACGAGCTGGAATCTGTTCAAATTTCGTTCTCGTATCAATGGCCGTGTTGTATTTCGAGAAGGGTACGTGCAATTTATTGTAATCTCTACCAGTTGTCGGGCGCACACGAGCGAAATGTCTAACTTTCTCTTCAATGCCGTGTGTCCCACCATAGGCTAAGGTGTAACGTATCACCGCTACGCTTTTGTAGAACGGGGGTTGAGGAAGTTAATAAAACTTGTTTCGATGTCGAGAAACTCGGCGTTCGACCCCTTGGTAAAGGATTTATTACGAATTCAGGTTTGAATGGAATACCTCCTGCCTTGGACTGCGAGCGTATTAGGGAGATGAGAAGAGAAAATGGCGAGAATGCTTTTGATGGATTTATATTTCGTTAC